GGAGCGGCCGGGGACCCCGCCGCGCGGGTGGGGACGCCGCCGCTAGTTTTCGCTCTTCCTCGCGCTGCGCCCCGGGCGCTCCGGGCACCTGAGAGGGGTACTGGGGCGCGCACCGCACTCGCTCGCGTCCATGCCTCTTCCTCCCGGACTCGCGCTAGACCCGGGCCAGGCTCCCCTCGGGACCTCTGCCGGTCCACACTCCACCTGCCAGCCTCGCCGCTCCGCGTTCGCTCCCGCCCGCCGCGCGCGGGGAGCCCCCTCCGCGCCCCAGCTGGGTTTCCCTGCCCGCGTCCTCCGGGCTCCTTCCTAACCGTCCCCAACTTCGCCGCTGTCTCCCTGCGCCTGCCGCCCGCCTCGACCCTCCGTTTAGTTTCCGCGGGTCCTCGCGGTCGGGACTGTTTTCTGCCAACGCACCTCGCGTTTGCGGCGCTCTTCAGTCCGCCTTGGTCACTCCAGCCAAGTTGCGGATGGCAGAAAGGAACCGAGTTCTTTGTAACGCGCTTGCCGCCACTGACTTGAGCTGCATCTCCAACGCGGTGGTTTCAGAGCGCGCGCTGGGCCCCTGCCTGTGGGTTTGCAATGTGCACACTCGTGCTCGTGTTTTCGTCATCAACTCCATGGCAGTAACCTATTTTTCCAAACCAACTCATATTAAATGCCAGAGTAATTTAGACGCTCCAAACTAGGTGGGGAAGTGTTCTCAGTCCTTGTTTCTGATGCTGTCCGTTCTCCGAAACAATAGTAAATTTACAGAAGGCAACACCCTTCCTGCCCAGCCTACCTTCTGCTCCAGGATCCTGCAAGCAGCCTTGGGTTACCTCGCCATATATTACTGTAAATAAATGAAGTGGGAAGTGCTGAATCATGAAACTGATGTAATAGGAAATTCACAGAATGCTAAAAGAAAGGAAAATTGAGCAGTGTCATTGTCCAGCACCCTCTTCATTTACGGGGTGCTGTCACCATCCAGAGTCTGTCTGCTTAGAAGCAAAAAACCACCTCGGAGAGACTGGCAGGGCTGAGAATTGGATTCTGAAGGCCTTTGCCACCCAGCCCAAGTTTCTTCTAATGCGTTTGGCTTGCAGGATGTTTCGTTTCTTGAAGCAGGAGAGTGTGAACATGCACATTGTAACTCTGCCTTTGTATCTACCTGTTGAACAAGCTTGCTTTTCCTCATGTTTGAGAATTAGCCCATGCCGAATTTCGTGGTTGGATTTACTTCATATTTTCCTGAGACGTTCTCAGCTAACATGAATGATATTTTTTTCTCTCTCAAAAGATAGCATTCTTTAATGTTTATGCCACAGGGTTATGGCACGCAGGCCCATGA